TTTTTTATTCTATTCTATTTTTTCTTTTTTTCTATTTTTATTTTCTTTTTTCTTCCTTTCTTACACTTATAAGCTTTTTCTTTGATTTTTTTTCTTTTTTCCTTTTTTCTTAGTTTGTATTAGTATATAAACAATTAAATCAGATATAGCACTAGGGATCCACCAAAAAGTCATTTGGGATTATATGTGATCCTGAGACATCAGAATGCCCACTCAGCTCTAAGGTAAGGATGTCTTATTTCAATATGATTGAGAACATATCAAGAAAAGTGCTTTTACCAAGAAATAGCAGGAGTGCTTGCTATCTCTGTAACATTAGCAGAATAATAACATAAGTTATTTTTAAAAAGGAAATCAATGTGTGTGTGTGTGTGTGTGTGTGTGTATGTGTATATATATATATATGTCTTAGTCTACAAGAAATCCAATGGCTCCCTAGGACACACCATCTACCAGAAGAAAACACACACAAACCGCTATCTGCACGCTCTCTCACACCACCACCCAGCACAGATCAACTCTGTAGCCAAGACACTCATCTCCAGAACAAAACGCTTAGCTGACGAACAACACCTAAAAAACGAACTACACACTCTCACCAATGTACTAACATCCAATGGATTCCAAAGAAATAAGATTACAAACCTAATCCAAAAAGAAACCCCCACTAAAATCCAAGACGAAGAACAAGAAAACGGCAAAGCCCTCCTCCCATACATAAAAGGCACCACAGACAGAATCAGTAAGATCCTCCATAAACACAACATCAAAACAGCATTCTGCACAAACAGAAAAATATCCACCATCCTTAGAAACCCCAAAGATAAAATTGAATTAGAAAATCAAGGAGTATACGAAATCCCATGCACTGCTTGTCCCACCACATACATCGGACAAACCAACAGAAGAATAAGTGCACGCATTGAAGAACATAAGAACTCAGTCAAAAAAGAGGAACCAACATCTTCCCTGCTCCAACACCTTAAAGCCACAGGACATGAAATTGACTTTAAAAATACCAGAACCATTGCCAAAAGTGAACATTTTAATAACAGAATAATCAGAGAAGCCATCGAGATAGAAAAACGCCCACACAGCATGAACAAGCGAGATGATACCTCCCGCCTACCAGCCATTTGGAAACCCGCCCTTATTGACAAACGACTGCCTAACACAAAAAATGATACCAGACCCACACTCACAAAAACCACACAGGATGGCACCACCACACATCCACGCAAAAAGCAAAACCAAAGCCACACCGATGATGAGGCACGACCACAAACCAGAAGCCAGACCACAGCTGCATCATTAGCCACTTTAAACCCCTCCAATCCATACATGAAGCAAACTGACATCCTCCATGAAGATGAGGCATGACCACGAACGCGAAGCCAAAAAATAGCAAGGCAGCCCAAAATCTTAAACCCCCTTGCAACTCAGACTAACCTGAGCACAACCAAACAGAACACTCCTCCAGCCAATCAGAGCACAGCCAACCCCCCAGCCAATCAGAGCACAGCCAACCCCCCAGCCAAGCAGAGCACAGCCAAGCCCCTAACCAATCAGAACACACCTCCACCCAATCAGAACACAGCCAAGCTCCCACCCAATCAGTTCATACCCCCACTGGCAGTTAAAAGGAAGAAACAGCTAAGACCACACATTGCTCCTTGAAGCACGAAGCTGAAAACACCAGCCTGAAGATGACGAATGGGACTTTGTCGAAACGTCGCCAAGACACTTCCAATTTTACGTGGGAGAAAACCCGAACAACCAAAGACCTACATATATACAAATATATATATATTTGTAAAAGAGAAGGGAAATGTTTGGATACAGACTACGTTTTTGCAAATGTTTATAATAATTGTCTTCAGTTTTCCTATATTCCAATTTGTTGTCTTTAAAGTGTTCACTGAAATGGTTTGTTGTCTCTATGAAATCAACACTTCTACATACATGATTAACGTATGTCTATTCAGACATCTCACTAACTTATACCAAACTTCTAGGTTACCAGGCTGCTCATCAAGCAGAAAACAATACCCCCTAATAAAGAAATTATCATGGACAAAACCACATCCCTACAATTATTGGCAAGACAAGCTACTGTATATAAACAGGGGGGAAACTAACATTCACTTGCAGTGATGGTGTTTATCTAGTTGGGTAATGAAATGTCTGCAAGCAAACAACCAAATTCAAAGAGAACTAAAGACTTCTTGTAAAGTAATTAACTTCTCTATATTCCCTAAAAATAGAAGATCCTTTAACTCAGAGGTCCCCAATCCCTGGTCCATGGATCAGCACAGGGCCACGGCATGCCAGCAACCGGGCTGCACAAACAAACAAAGCCCCATCCATGGGATTCAGGGAGCACACAAAACCACGCATCCTCAGGTCCATGGAAAAACCTCTCTTCATGGAACTGGTCTCTGGTGCCCAAAAGGTTGGGGACCTCTGCTTTAACTCTCCACAGTGCTGCTGGCTGTTACAAAGAGATATATTTCATTTGTGGCAATCAAGTAGTTTTTTCTAGGTGTTTTCAGTGTATGCTCTGCTTTATATTGAATTTATATTCCTTGTTTAGTATCTTGCAATGATGAACTGAATAATAATAATGTTGGAAGGGACCTTGGAGGTCATCTAGTCCACTCCTATACCATTTCAGACAAATGCCTGTCCAGTCTCTTCTTAAAAGCTTCCAGTTTTGCAGCATTCACAGCTTCTGGAGGCAGGTTGTCCCATGGATGGGGCTTTGCTTGTTTGTGCAGCCTGGTTGCTGGCATGCCGCAGCCCTGTACTGATCCATGGACCAGGGATTGGGGACCCCTCAGTTAAAGGATCATCTATTTTTAGGGAATATAGAGAAGTTAATTACTTTACAAGAAGTGTTGTAATCATAAAGTGCTTCAGGAAGTGATGCTGGTGAGCTTCAAAGCAGTAATTAGAAAGAAGCAGGAAAGTTTTCCAGACCAGATTTGCAGAGGAACACTCTTAGAGAAGGATGAGAAAGAGTTTAATTTTATGGCTTAACCAAACCAAAGCTGAAGAAAATAAGATGATGATTCAGGAATGCACTGATAAGAATCAGCATTTTTTCAGACAAAGAAAATAAAGTATCATAACACAGAGGTGGAAGAAATCAAGGCATGGAAAATATATAGTCAACGAGTTTAGAATGAAGAGATGGTAAGCTGGTAAAGAAAAGTGAGTAACAAATAAAAACATTACAGTTTGGTTAAGAATATTAAATGGAGAACTGTGACAAAACAGGTGCATGAGAAGATATCAAGTCAGACTGGAAAGGATTTTTTCCAAAGCTCCACAGAGCTTCTGTCAGTCAACTTACATAAACCTGACCGACAGCTGGCACAAGGCTTTTTACATTCCTACATCCATTAAGGATGTAAGTATTTTCAGAGATATTCTTTTACACACAGCATGCAAAAAGGAAAGGATTTAAATTACATGACAAAGCAAGTATAGGAGGCGAGCATGGAGCAAGCAGTATTATTAGGGAAGGCAATGAAAGAGAACATACATTTTAAATAGTTATAGACGTTTAAAGGAATTTTAATATTTCTGAGAAAGCTCATTATAATACCTCTTGCTTTCTTTAAACCCCACCCTATCTGTAAAGAAAGAGAAGGGACCGTGCTCTCCATAGTGAACATTCTAGACTGAATATTTTAACACTATTGGGAATGAATTTCACAGGAAATGAACCAAATGTAAGATGTGTCAAAGTAAAAATGAAGGCTAAAACTTCAAAAATAGAAGTAAAAGGAGTTTAAAAAATTAATGTAACAGTCAAGTAAAGGAAAATATTTTTAAGAAGATAACAGTAAGTTATGACATCTTGGATTGGGATATAAATCTGGAATTTTGTGAATGAACGTAATTATGGGTGAACTGCCAGCCACATATAGGAAAGCACCCCCCCCCAAAATCCCCCCCTCTCTCTGTTTCATTCATTCTGAACAGAAATAAAAATGCTGTAGGGTGGAACCTCACTTAAGTTACTTGCAAGGATGTACAGGTTATCCTTGACTTACAACAGTTCATTTAGTGACCATTCAAAGTTACAATACTGAAAAAAGTGGCTTATGACCATTTTTCAAACTTATGACCGTTGCAGCATCCCCATAGTCACATGGTTAAAAATCAGACATCGGCAACTGATTCATATTTATGATGGTTGCAGTGTCCCAAAATCATGTGATCATCTTTTGCAACCTTCTGATAAGCAAAGCCAATGGGAAAGCCAGATTCATTTAACAACCGTATAACTAACTTAACAGCAGTGATTCAATTAACAACAGTGGCAAGAAAGGTCATAAAAAGGGGCAAAACTCACTTAACAAATATCTCACTTAACATAAATTTTGGGCTCAATTGTGGTCATAAGTCGAGGACTACCTGTATCTTAAAAAACATTGAAGATCTACAGCGTGTGAAATAATACATTGAAAAGATTGGGGAAAGAAAAGAAATCCCTAAACCGATTTGGCCAACCTGGTGCCCCTCAGATGTGCTCCAAATGCCCCTAACTCTGCCCGTTATTGGCTAAGAGTACAAGGACTTTAAGAATGGGCATTTCATTGAGGAAAAGGTACCCCCCCATCAATCCTTTTAATAATATGACTATGATCAGTTTTTGCAGCAATTTTAATTGTTTAGCCACCTCGGAATATTTATTAAAATATTGATGAAAAATTGGTGAACAGCAAAATCGACAACAGAGCTTTAAAAAAGTTAAAAGTCAGCCAGGAAGTGAAAGGCGTTTCCGAATATATTCCAACTAATCTTCTCCCATAACCGACTTTCCACATAAGCCAAACTACTGAAGTAACTGGTGTTAACAGTCAAGGGCACTTCAAACATCTTCCGATTGAGAAAATGAACAAATATATGTACTTACTAAATAACGACTCACTAAACGATAGGAAAAGAATTTAAGATAAAGAAAAGCAGAATAGCCTTCGGTTGCTCACCTTCAAGTCTTTCTTCTCAGACGACACACGTGAATACCAAGCACTCGCCGCAGAATCACACGCGACGCTCGCCTTCCTCGTCTTATACTTCGGCACCGGCTGCTGCCTGCAAATCCCTCCCACCTTCGCTTCAACTCTGCCCTCTGATTGGATTCTGGCGAGCAGCTCTGGCAGTTTTCCTCAATGCACCGGCCTCTGAGCGGAAGAAACCGCACCTCGCCATTGACATTGCTGGCAAGGGGCCACTGGCATCTACTGCGGTTACCATGGGAACATTTGGATTAGATTTGAGCGGCTCGCTCCGAAAAAGAACAGGCAGGGGAACGGCAGTGACGTGTAGAAAACGAAATCAATGACCCGATGTGACGTTACTTCTATTTATAGGTAAATGTGGCTTTGTCTTTTTTTTCGTTAATTATTGAAGGAACAGTGCAGGTTGAATGATGCCGGAGTTTTCACAAAGGGGTAACAACATAAAATAAAAATGTTCGGTTTGGTTGCTCAGCAGCTCTAAAGCAGGTGAGATTTAGATGGCAACCTCTCTAAATAATAGTCATCACCACAGTTGTTGAGAATGTAACAACAAGCCTATTCTTTAGTTACATTATTAATTGGCTATAATATGGTGCCTTTCAGATTTGAATTGTTAATAGATTGTGCAAGAAGCAAGGATTATAATTTGTACTGACTCTAAAAGACTTGGGTTTTTGTTTTTCTCAAAAGATAGCACATAAGTTCAATTAAATACATCTTAAAAGGCATAGATGCAATTTCAGTACATATAACACAATGACTAAAATTTCTGTTAAATTTTAGGGGCAACATTAATATAATTGAAATGCATTTCACATGGAGATTCATATATATTTAAGAAGGATTCCAAGGTTAATTCCTATTAAATACCGTACACATAAATAAGTTTATGAGAAATAAACTTAAGGCAGACTAAAGTTCCCAAATATCTTTGGCCAGTCTTAAGTTACTATGTGATAAGAAACTTTCACCAACTTTCTATAAGTGGATTACAATAATAATTGTTAACAGAGAGTTTTGCAACTATAATTTGTTTTGTTTTAGTATTCTTCCTGTTAACTATTTTGTCATTAATATATTATGTAGAAGACAGGTCAATAACTTGCAAATAGATTAGGTTAAAAAAATTGGGGGGGAGGGCTGTTTCACAAGGGGTAGGAATCAATGTAGCAATGTATTATTAATATTCAATTAGGGGGATAGGTGTTGGGTTTTTTTGATGCACCTTTTTCTTTTTTAATGCCTTGACTGTTTTGTGGTTTCCTTTTTGTATTTTTTGGAGTTTTGTATTTTGTATTTATTTTGTCTTGAATAAAATAAAATAGTAAAAAAAGGAATATTTATTTTCAGTCTTGAAAGCTAGACCAGGGATGTCAAATCCGCAATGTCACATGACATATCGCAATGTGTCGCGGCTTTTTTTGCCATTGCCAGCAATGGGGTAGGTGCGATTTTGTTATAATGGATCTGGCCCGTGGGCCGGCACTTTGACACCCTTATTCTAGACATATTTGCTTATAGATAAATATCCACATTTTGATCCCAAAACTACACGAGAAATTGACATTGTGCAATAACCCTAATTTGAAAATAGCAGAGGATGTTTTACTAGAATGCTTGGTCCAAATAAGGGATAATTGATTTATAAAGGTTGTCTAAAAGTCATGTATTATGAATATGGTTTATTTATAACCTCCTGTTGGTAATAGATACAACTGAAGTATGTACTGACTAAGCAATATGACTCAGATGTGTTAACAGCCTGGAAGCTGACCTGAAATATTAGGAAGTGATGCAGTGCTTGAACTGAAACCAAGAATCCAATTTTATAAGAAACTAAAAAGTAGAATGGAAGTTAACATAACTTCAGGTATATTATTATGGAATGAAGAATTGGAATATGCAATCTTGGAAAATCAATCAATTAAAATTTTAAGAAATGTAAACTTGTCTTATGTTTTAAGAATGAAATAAATTCAGTTGAAAACATATATTTATTTGATGTGTATCCCCCATCTCATCATAACAACTGTGAGAGGCTAATAACATGAACCCCCTATCTGTGGTACTGAATCCTTCCAAGAAGAGTTGGATATTAGATCTCTATTGTGGGGAAACTACAAGAAATTTCAAAGTTCTAGCCAATGTGATTCGCTCTTGCCTAGCTTTGTCTTTGTTTTACTTTCAAATCATTGTGTGTATTAATGGGATTTTGGAAAGAAGTATAACAGATAAAGACATAAATATGAACCATATTCCTAAAATAGGGAATTTATCATTTTATGAAACCCTTTGATTCTACTGAACCTGGGACACAGCAAAAGGATTTAATTCTACATAAATGTAAAGAAATTTAACTATCCTGATATTAAAAAATGAATTCAAGATATGCATGTTTTGCTTATTTTTGAAAAGATTTTATATTCTAAAAATGAGAAGATGAAGCAATGTTCCCATATGGTCTAAATTTAATGATAAACTTATGAATTTAAATTCTACGTTGATAGTAATTAATCATTACATTGATTTTATATAATTTTTCTTTTTTGCTTATATTTCCTTTTTAAAATTAATATCAGGTTCCTATCTTTATGTATTACATCCTCAACCTAAACCAAGGTCTCTTCACTGAAGGTTGTGGACTATAATCTACCATCCTGGCTTAATAGAGTTTGGTAGACAGATGTTTTTGACTTCCAAGTCTAGAACTGATAAGAGAGAGTAGTAAGTAACCTGACCAGAACTAGAACTGGGTCTCCCTATTAGCACTTTAAGTGCTATACTATGCTGAATGTCATAACCAATATATTTGTATATTCTGTTAGTATTCGAGCTCTTGTACTTCACTCTTCAAAATAAATTATTTTTAAAAAGAAATGAAACTTAAATATGAAGAAATCTTTTTGAAAATGGGTTCTGTCAAAATCAAAAACAAATGGGAATATATTTATTAAGGATTTTCTTTTAGCCAGACTGAAACTAACGTTACACAATCATCCCAGAAAAGACAGACAGGCAGAGGTGGTCCTGCAGGTATTCTAGCCCTATGTCATGAAGGGCTTTATAAGTAACGACCAGCATCTTGAAAAGGCTACTGGGAGGCAGCATAGCTTGTGGAGCAGTGGTGTTACATGGGTATTACATGTGGAATGCCAAAACCTGCCAAAGGAACAGTAGGCAAAAATCTATATCCATCCATCCTTGCAAAGAATAGATGGGGGGTGGGGGGAAGAGACATTAACTGTCTGTAAATTAATAATCTCTAGTCATAACATTAGTTGTTCCTCCATAAGGATCTACCAATTAATCTTTTCTCACATATAAAAGCATGGAAGCATGTATACATTTCCTCTTCTCCTAAAATCTAGCAGAAACAATGAGGGAAATGGAGAGGAAGGAAGTGATGAGGTGAGGGCAAAGGTAACCCATTTAGATGCTGGGGTCAGGCACTCCTAGAGAGCAGCTTATTTTATTTTTATCAGGCCGGCAATTCACCAGACCAGCAAATTTGGTACTTTGAAAAACAGGCAACACCTTAAGACACCTACTGTAGAATAAGTTATGGAACTATCAGATGCTAGAAAAATATTAACCATCCAATAAAAGAGTAACTTCTCAAGTTTATTTTGATTTTTAAAACTGAAGACTTCACGAATGCTGAGGCAGCAATTTCAAATAATTACAGCAGGCAGATTGTAGCCAAAAATTGTTAATATTGGCAAGAGCTGGCATCTATCCACACAATATAATTAGATTATTTTTGCAGAGCCCAAGAGAGAGTGGAAGGCGACCCTAGTCATATGAAATGTTCAGTTGTAGAAATGAAACCAGGTTACTCTTTTCTACACAATTCACTATTACAATACATAGAATCCCTATAACAGTATTCAGAATTTACCTCAATTCTCTGTCTCACGTGCAGACATTAGGAGGAAAAAAAAAACACAAAGATTTAGACATTTTAGAAAATGACAAACCTTCATAAGTATGATTTTGTAATAGCCACTACAAGAAGTATTGATATTTAGGTTTGTTGAAATCAAGCAGGCAAACCAAGATGGGCCATCTTTGCACTGTTATAAAGGACCTAATTTTTAATGAGGAAAATAAGTTCCAGAATTCATAGTAGTATGAAAATACAATTGATTTTTTTTTTCTGGAAAAGGGTGAAATGTTAACCAATCTTGAAACTATTATGAAACCATATGAAATGACATATTTATAACTGTTAACGCAATTGTACTAAGATCTAATTCATGCAAATAATAAATACTGCATTGTAAATATTGTTATTTACACTTCCCTTTAATAAAACACACCTTTCAAAAACTATCAAAAATTAACTATTAAGATTATGAATAGTTTACAACCAATTCTTGAAGATAATGAGCTATATCATAAATATCATATGCAAAAATCACATCAAAACTTAACAAGAAAATAACTTCGAAATAAACAGATATGCAGTCTATTTATTTCAACATTTTAGAGTGGTGCCAGTTAAAAGTCCATTTGAGGGTAGAAGTTGATTATGGCGAAAAGGTTATGGTTGGGCTTAAAACATAAGAGTGAAATCCATATAAAAGTTGCCAAACTAAGCTGAAAATAGTTCAGGGTGAAGATTCTGAACTTTCATCCCTGATATTTTACCTTTTCCCAGAAATTCAATGGCAGTAACATCCTGGTTAACCTGTTAAACCAAGCAACCCTATAATGTGCCATAATTTCCAACAACCACAAAATCATAGAAAGGCAAGTATAGGTGAAGTTAGCCCACATCTCCTGGTTAGTTCAACTGGATATTGTCCTAGCTACTGAGAAAAAGGATAGCACCTAAAAAAATGCCCATTCCCAGTTTCCCCTCTGCTCTGTTATTCTAATACCGCATGACTACCTTTGTGTGATATCCAAATGAATTTGAAAATGTCCCTTTGTTGTTCTAAACCTTGTAGTGGCAAATACATGTGTCTGGTAAGTCCAACCATTATTGGTAAAGTCCTGGAACAGGCTTGCAGCTTCCAATCTATTGTGAAGAGCAAGCTATCACTCTACTTAGGAAGAAATGTATCTTAGTAAAAATAACAAGAGTTACAGACAGTACTAATTCTGAGCAGCATTCCTTGAAGAAAATGAATACTGTACATTCCTGGCTCTTCCAAAAGGATTTGGGGAGAGGTGCAAGGAGATGATGAGCAGGTTAGGTTAGGCACATTTATCCACAATTCCAAGTCTTCCTCCGCACCAAAAAAAAAAAAAAAAAAAAAGCGCCACATGTTGTTCCTACTCCAAAATATTTAGTAAAATTCATTAAAAGGGATGATATATTTCACATTAACAATAAAATGCTGAATGCTCTATTGTTTCAGCAATGCAATTGTATTATGTTGCATTTTCAGGAGGGGAACCTCTTATACTGTCAGCTAAGTTGACATGGTGGCAAAGAATAAAATGTGTTCGTTCAAGAGACACTGTCTCTAAAAAAAAGCTTCTGATCAAAATGGGGAAATTTTTAAAAATCCACATCAGATCAAGAAGGGTTGTATGTTCCAAAGATCAGGAAACAGACATGTCTAGTGAGATAGATATCTGAAGAAAATAGAATAAAACAGGCAGTTATTTCTTTTAAGTGGTATAGAAAAAGAAGTATTATAGAACATTCAAAGAAACAGAGCAAAACACAAAGTAAGGCCTCTTACTTGTAGATGTTAAAAAAATGAAAGCATAGCTATATTCCTCAAAAGCCTTTGACTAAGAGGAAATTCTACAACAGAATGCAGTTCTGACATATATACCTAACATTAGTAATTTGTTAAAGGCTTTAACAAGTGTGAGCATGCATAACACAGATACTCCCTCTTCAATGATGTTTGAATATGCTTTAGTTCCATAGGAATAGGACAAATCAACCCCCAGGCCAAATTGACTTAAACTGCAAACCAAGCTGAATCCAGATTATGAAGTGGATATATTTAAATTCTCCTCCTACCTTCAGCTTAACATACTAGCAGAAAGCTAACGATAAGAAGCTTCCATGTTGGGCGAAGTCATTTCACTGTTAGTGATAACAACCTATGGATCAAAGTTACTTAGGTTTCATGCTGTTGGTGCTATATGCATTACTTATCCATCAGTCAAGCTATACTTTTAGCCAAATAGTGCATTTTGTTAAGGAATACAAATCCATGTATTTGCATAAATATCCAGATACAGTCTCCCCAACTGAGAAGTGATTCAATGATACAGCAAAACCATCCAAACATTACACCAAATTGGTTACATGTGAGAAAAGCTTGCATTTACTATAGCAGATACTATGTATCTATAGAAGACACATTCCCATTTTGGCAAGTTAGCATTTCCAGACAGGTCAACAAAAATAAAAACAATGAAAATATTTTTTCACTAAAAATAGAGAAGTTCCCACATCTTTATGGATAGCATTCCAAAATGTACCTTCCTACCAGTTGTACATAATCTACTTCCTGTTGAAGAAATGAATGTGATCAGCCCTGCCTGCTCCATCTAGTGTTGGAGGGTAGAGAAAATGTAATAAAAAGTCTTGCTTTTTATTGGACACTTTTTTGTTTTCATTTCTGCAAGTTGCAGTGTGGAATAAGGAACACAGAAAAAGATTGTTTTGTGACTGAAGGTCCTATCCAAGTTACAGTGTCTTAAACAAGAACAAAAAAGTTTACTTTGAGGAAGAAAGGAAAAATTTAGAATTGCCTTACCACAGTGATCCCAAAGATCAACCTTTACAAAGCATGGAAACTCTCACAATATTGGCCAGATGCAGAATGAAAATTTCCACAAAGCTAAAAGCACCCCTATTGTCTCACTGATGTTTGTAGTGGTTAAAAACCTGAGTGACACTGTAACCGAACACACAATTTATTAAAGATGAAACACCTCTCCGGAGGGGACAAGGAGGGACAACAACCAGCTAAATTATAAGTTTCATCATGTAAACAAAAACAAGCACCACATTCCTAAATGGAGGTGGATGACAATAGTGCCAAGTGAGGAACTCTGAAGCAAAAAAAAAAAAGAAAGAAAGAAAGAAAAGGTTCAACCTGATTGCACCAAAAAGGAGCTTGAGCGCATGCAAGTCTTATTTGTTTAGTGCTTAGTGTGTAGAAGTGACTCGCTTAACCAAGAAGAAACAATCTGGCCCTATATTGTTCCAGATTTCAGGGGCTCTCTGGTATCCCATCATCCTGTGTGTTGTCATCTATCTCCAGCTCCGCTAGCTGCCGTCTCAGCATGTTGACTTTCACTTGGAGTTCCTTGTTATATTTTATAATGTTGATCATTTCTTCATAAGATTCATCCACAAATTTGGAGGATCTGTTCCAGCGAAGAAAAACTCCTGGGGGTAATAAAAAACAACAACAAAAACCACTTTTAAAAATGCTTTCTATTTCATAAAAATCAGTACTGGGGAAATGGTAATATAATTTTATTTATGCAATGCTTTCATTTCATGAATAAAAGAATCTAAAATATGGGGATAGTGTAGGGAAGAGCAAGAACAATCAGGTGCTGCTTCATCTTCTTCAGATTACTTTGATCTCAAATGACTAGTCCTGACAGAAAAGTTAGTGGAGGAAGCTCTCCATTCTGGCAAGATACAAAAACTGAGTCACACAGCACAATCATCTGTGACCTGATGGATTATTAGAAGCTCCCTTCCAACAAGCTAGAAAAGTCTGTCAATGAGTTCAGCTTTGTTTTTCTGTTAACTCCCAGAAAGCAAAACCAAGCAATACAGGCTGGCTCTCTAGTAGCTCCTCTAAAAAATAATAATAAATTAAAAAAAAACAGTAAGAAGATCACATTAGTTGTGAATTTCTACCGGCTTTCTTTCTTAGAGTGAGGTAGCTGTGAACATTTTAAAGAGGAATGTTATACAACTATGTATCTCTCTATGGAACAATTTTCAATAATGAAGGTAGGAACAACTGTTAGTTTAACAGCTCTGCAAATATTAAACCTTACCCTATACTGTGAAAAGGTCTTTTTTTGTTAAATTGGACCTCAAGATGACAGAAAGCTGGCAGCAGTGAGTAGATCATTGCACACATGCACCCCCTCCCCTTCAAATGAAAAAAAAATTAAGTCTAGTGGAAATTTAGCACCACCCTGGTTTTTTTATTTTCAAAAAAAGAAAAAAGGAAATAAAATTAACTCCACTGAAAAAACATACTGACAAATTCTGGCAATGTCATCAGAAGAGAGGAAGGACAGCTGTTTGCAGCCTGTGGGCAACGGCCTCCCTATTCTGGCTTTGCAAAGATTCTGAGGGAAGGAGCTATTCAAATATTACCTATACGGTAATATTAGATAAGGCTTCAATGTAGAAAAGTGCCTGGCTACTTATATTCATATAATTACTGCTATAAACATGGATTTAAGAAAGATTTTTAAATCTGCAAGGCTTGAAAAAATTCATCTCTTATATCTTATCTGTTATTTCTCAAATGGCAGGAGAAACAAAACAGGCCTTCTAATGCCGATCAGAGCAGGAGATGTTATATATAGGAGAGGAGGAAGCACTTCAGACTTTCTGATCATAGTGGAAAAATAGTAGAGATACATACTTCAGCCAGCCAGCACTACTTAATATTCATGTTTCTGGACTCTTTCCATGGAGAATATGTGACAGAAACCAACCTGGAGTATAGGTATGAATGACTGAGACCACATCTGCCTGGACTCTGTTTAGTGGCAGGTAACTAATGTCACCAATAAGGAAGAAGAGCAAATCTGATATCTTAAGCCCTCCAAATCTGCTTGGAGATGACGTACCTTCCCACAGCTGCAGACTTTGTGGTGCAACGGAAGGCCAGATGACTAGACTGTTGGCTTCAAAGAGAGGATTCTTAAATCGATTGAGCTCTTCTGGCCTATTCACCCAGGACCACAAGGACATTGTCTTCTGAGACAACTTAAGCTTAGACCTGGCGAAAAATTAGAAGTAAATACAAATGCTCCAAATTTGAAAAAGCCAGCAGAATTATCTGTTCTATTCACAACATTTGCAGTTGAACCTGGAGAAGAGATTTTTTTTTATGTGAAAGACTGAATTAAAAAAAAAAAAGCTCTACAACTTCTGTAACACAAATGAAAAGGAACCATGCCTTTTCAATTTGCAAATAATAGTATGAGAGAACAAAACAAGATGATACAAAAAAAATTTCTAGCTAGTAAATTCAGTCCTGGAGAAACTGTAAAGTAGGTGTTCCTGTACTAAAACATTAAAAAGAAAAAAGTGTGCAGGATATTCTGTATATTGTCAAAACAAATGGTCTGTACAACTGTACTAAAGAAAACAAAGGAAGCCAATGAATAAAGAAAACATATATTTAGTATATATATATGTCTTCTTGGTATTCCTTGAAAATATAAACTGTGCTTTCAGTTAAGTTTTAGCAGTATGAGATGCAAGATCCCCCTTGCAGCCAGAAACACTATAGGATTTCAAAGTGATCTTTGAAACACAACCATGCAATATTTGCAAGAAATTCAAAGTAAACACAGAGACAACACTGCTTGATTAGAGGGGAAACATATACATTAAGTAAGGAAGATATACTCTCTGCTAAGTTAGATCACCAATTCATCACTGTAGTCCTTAGATCTTTAAATATTCAGGCAATCTTTCTAAACCTTGATATCCACAGTTTTCGTTAATTCAAAGTTGGAAAATGTTTTAGTATTTATAGGCTATGACTCCTCCCAGAAGCTGTTGTGGACAAGACTCAGATATTGTCCTGATAGCAAAGGGAGAAGGCCAAGATTGTTGTAATTTGTTTCTGTGTTTGGGGTTGTGGTTCTGTTTCGTTTTTTGCTTACTTTACCTATTATGTCTATCAGCAAGAAACTATATCTCTTGTTTCACACCCAAATTCCATCCATGTGATTCCAAAAACTATTGTGAACTTCAGGTTACATGGTTAAATGCAACTGTGCTCAAAACAGTGTCAGAATAACTATTCCTGCTATTATCTCCTTTGGGATCACAGACAGAGAATAGCTGACCTGCAAAAGCTCTATCAGTCTTTGACAGCTCAAAAAAGACCCTCACCATTTTCCAAAACCCTTTTCTTCATCCAGTGGTACATTCTACCATATTGGTGCCATGTCTTCCTATACGTGGAAAGAGGCCTATGAGGGATGGACTTGAGGAGAGGGAAGACTTCAAGAAACCTGCACAACCATGTCTGGAATAGATGAACTAATCCCAATTTGATAAAAGGTACAGCTCATGTGCAAACTTGAAATCTTTTAAATTAATAGCCAAGACTCCCATAATCTTAATACTAATGACATAAATACTGCCTTGAATGAACAGTAATATTGCTTAGCCTCCAAGAAACTCAGGAAAAAAGTTCATCTACCTTTCATTTTCATTGTTACCCAGGAAGGTTCCAAACTGAGAGGCGTAAGAATGTTCAAAGAGCATGATGAGAAAATGATAGTTGAACTCAAAGGAGCAAGGGAACTGGCGAAGGATCTGCCAGACGCAATCCAAGAAAAGGAGGAATACAGGAGCCTCCCATTTCTGCTTGCTATTTGAATAAGCTGACTGGGCACAGCGCTGTTGAAATGGGTGGCCAGCCTGTAATGTAATAGCATAAAAATATATACATTATATATATATATACATATAAAATCATGTACTGGTTATAAGAAATATTAGCTATTTCTATTACAGCAAATTCTCCTTTTATGAAATAATGACTAATATTAATAAAATTTATTCTGGGTTGCATAAAACATACTACGATATAGAATTATAGTTGGAAGGGGCTAGCTAGACCATAAAGCTCAAACTCTTGCTTAGCATAGAAACCCAAATGACAAATAGTTCTCTTACTTGTGAAGCATCTAGTAAAAAGGAGACTCTTGTAATAGTTGAATTGTTTTATTGTTAGAAAGTGTTCCTTTTTAGTATTCAATGGAGGCTGTCTTTTTCTTACTTAAGTCCACTGGGATGTTAGAGTTAGGTTTATTTATTTAAATTTATTAGCCACACAATTTTAACGGATTCTAGCTACATACAAAACTAGAAGAAAATATAAAAGCAGCTAATAGGTGGACAGCCCAGACTAAAATGATCTAATAAACAACAAAGTTGACAAAACAAATCAGGGGCCTTAAACAACAAACCTCAACTCTAGAATCCAATCTTGTTGGTCACCGGGACCAGAGGTTTAGTTTTCCCCTTAAAAATACAACATTGTATCACAGCTGCAGTTCAATTCCACACCTGTGACCAAAGTCAAGTTTTCAAAGCTTTCTAGAATTCTAGGAGAGAATATGCTAGCCTTATCTCTACAGGGATATTGTTCCAGATTGTATGGATGACAATAGAGAAGACATCACAAGATGTCAATGTTTAATAAAGGGATCTGAAGCACATCTACTCTATTGGATCATGCCAGGTGGCAGATACAGAAATAAGCAATCTCTCTTGATATCTAGGCCCTATGCCATAAGAGAGCTTTGTAGGCAATACCCAGCACCTTGAGTTGTACTTGGAAGCCAACTGGCAGTCAATGCAACTCACGTAGCAGTGGTGACATATTTTATGCAACCCAGTATAAATCTTTATTAATATTAGTCATTATTCATAATTATTGCTCACACCATTGCATTTTGAAGCAGCTGTAGCTTCTGGCTGGTTTTCAAGGGTAGCCTCATGTAAAGTGCATTGTAATAATCCAATTGTGAGATGATCAAGGCACAAGTAACCATCTGAAGAGTCTCCCGGTCAAAGAAAGGGCACAACTGGTGCAGATGATGAAGCTGCAAAAAGGCCCTCCAGGCAGTAGCTTGAAGTCTAGAAGAACCTTTCTGGAAGTTTGGGGGGGCCCTGCATTTTCACAATGTTTGCAGCCACCTTGTTCTCTCCACTCAGTTGATGACTTAATTAAAAATCTTTAGTAGATATTTGCAGAAAGATATTTGCAGAAAGAGCTGGTATCAGGCACATTTGGAACCAGTCAAATAGTATTTGACTGGTGATACATTTAGGAAAAGTAATTAGGGAATTAATAAAGGCAACAAAAAACTCGCAGACGGGAACAGGAAAATTATAACATCATTCTTCTATCATTTCCCAATGTTTATACAGTATTTGACATTGAGATAAGCAACACACTCAAAATTGGTAAACATTCATAGTTCCATGAATTTGTCTAGTTTTTTTAAAATTCTAAACCAGTGTCCACTATCAATCCAATGAGAGAGGAGCTCCATTATTCAATTATGTTGTATTAAAAAAAAAAAAAAACCTTTTTATCAATTTACCTCCATTTAGCTTCAATGTATAACCCTGACTTTCAGCATTATGACAGAGAGGGAAAAAATCTATTTCATGCATGCTTTTCTATGTCTCTATTATATTTTCTCTTACTTCACCCTGCATCAAGCTCTACCATTAGGTTGTAAGGATTAAGGAGCTGAACTAGGACTGGACAACTCTGTGTTCAACTTCAGCCTCTACCTCACAAATTCAAGGGATGATTTGGGGCCAATCACTATTTCCAAGTAACTTACTCCCAGTTTACTGTAGGGGAAAAAATCCACAGGCAGGAATACTATTTATATTGTCTTGAATTCCTACAAGGAAAGGCAGGACATTAACTAACAAATATATTACCTTCAAATATTCTAAATGCTATCATTTATTTTCCCAAACTCTCTTCTAGTCTCCTGATTACTTGACTTGTTCTCTTCATGACTTTTTCCAAGTTCTACAATGTAGTTTTAAGATGAAGTGACCCGTTCACAGAGAAGATGAAAATCTTATTAAGCAAGTGAAGGATCAAAGACAAACCCACATTAAGAGGATCTATGGGGTTTTAGTTGAATTGGATTCAGAAACGGAACTAATTAAAGATTGTATGATTAGATGGGCGCAGAATTTTGGTGAGCCAGTTCCATTGGACACCTGGGAAATTATTTGGGTGAGAAATGTCAAATTTACACAAGCACAGAACTTAAGGGAGAATTTTTATAAAATGTTTTATAGATGGCACCTTGATCCACAAAAAATGTCTTTTATGTACCCTGACTTACAACCTAAATGTTGGAGATGTGGTTGTATGGATGCTACTTATTATCATATTTGGTGGTCGTGCAGAGAGATAAAAGCATTCTGGATTAAGATATGGTGGAATATCCAGAGAATTTTTAAAAGGAGGGTAAAATTTACTCCACAATTATTTTTGTTAGGTATAGTTACTGATTGTGATACAAAGGAGGTTATATTGATGTTAAACTTGATAACAGCTGCGAGGCTGTTAGTAGGACAATATTGGAAGAAGGAATCTTTGCCTACATTGCAGGAATGGTTTCTTAAAGTGTCTCATTTGGCGGAAATGGCAAAGATTTCGGCTTTCTTAAAGGGACAAACGCAAGAGAAATTTCTTGCTGTTTGGGATAAATGGATAAAATTCATACAATTTAAATTTGATATAAAAAAATATTATATAGTTTTTTCATAATTTTTAACTTTATATATATATATATTTTCTATTTTATATTCTTTTTTTATAATTTTTTTTAACTTTTTCTTTAATTAAGCCTATATTCTGCTCTGGGAGGTCCTGGGGGGGGGAAGGGGGGGTTTGGGTAGGGGTGGGGGAAGGGGGGTTTTGTTGGGTAATGTTTGTTTTTTATTTGTATATGTTGTTTTTTGTTTTTGTATTGTTTCTTATTTTTTGTAAAATTTATAAAACTCTTTAATAAAAAAAAAAAAAAAAAAAAGATGAAGTGACCCAAATTGCACACAATGCAGTAAATAAAAAATCTAACATTGACAGAAAAGTGATGTTGTAAAATCAACAACTAAGCATGTTAAGTATTAGGACTGTCTTCTCCAAACAAATGGTCTCAAAGTAACATTGAAGGATAGCTTCCATTATCTCCAGCCAATATACAAATTGGAAGGCACTAGATAAAGAAGGTTGGGCACTGTACTACTTAATCTAATCTTCCCATTCCCCAAAAAACTAAGCATCGAGGCAGACATGGAAGCAGCTTATTGATCAACAGGGTATGCTCTTCACTGGCTTCATTACCAGATGATTAAAAAATACCTATGCAGTAGTAAATGGAATCTAGAAGTATGCAAACCTATTCTTCAGAATATATATTGCTCCAGGCAAACAACACAGGATTCTTTTTTTTTTTCTTACACTCTTCCGGTGAGTTTCCCAGAGACATAATTTTCAAAGGATCAGAGAAAGGAGAAACTTCCTAACAGTGAGGACAATTAACCAGTGGAACAGCTTGCCTTCAGACTTTGTGGGTGCTTCATCACTTGAGGTTTTTAAGAGACTGGACAGCCATTTGTCTGAAATGATATAGAGACTCCTGCTTAAGCAGGGGGCTGGAGTAGAATACCTCCAAGGTTCCTTCCAGCTCTACTCTGATTGATTGAAAGTCACATTTGAAAATAAGATGCTGAATTGATCTCATTCAGGATCCAATCTGGGTCGATCACCGGGAATAGAGATTTTGTCTTCCAAGCTTTCGGACTCGTGCTGGAGCCCATCCTCAGGGAACTTCTCTCTAATAGTGTATGTGCTGTTCTGTGTGTAGTATTTATAGTGCCTGCTGTAAGTGACTTTTTAGATATTGATTGGGGTATGTTGATGGCTGGCTTTTAAGTCATTAGCTGTCATTTGCTAGTGTTGCCCAGCTCTTGCCTTCTAAGTACTTGATAGCCTGGTGGTAAATCAGCACTCCTATTGACTGACGAGGAGCCTGTTTCCCAGGCTTCAATCACTTCCCTGGCTGTTGTGCTTGCTCTTCCAAGAATTTTAGTAGCTGCAAAATTGAATGTGTCCCCTTGTTCACTGTAATGTGAGGCTACCAATGAGTTCAGGTCTCCTCATCTGAACGCTTGCTTGTGTTCTTGAAATCTGGTGGTCAGTCTCCTCCCCGTCTGTCCTATATAGTCATAGGAGTAATCCATGCAGGTAATCCATGATCTGATTCAGTAGAGTTGTTCTTAGCCTTATATTGTCAGTCCTGCCTATTTATGCTATCATGGCTTACAATTTTAGGACACTTTTCCTCTTCCACTTTTTTTGTGAAGCATCTTGCATTAATTGTCCAACTGTTTTCCTGATGTCTTACAGAGCATATAAATAGGACAGACACATATGTCTCGCATGGGTCTCTGTGCAAGCTGTTGTGAGGCTTCAAGCCAATGGCAGCAAATTGGCAGTTCTTTTTGAAAGGAAGCCGACACATGAACTCATATTTGAGTCACAGTATATTCCTACCAATTACGGCCTCATAGTGGACTATATCTTGAATGAATGCACAAGAGATGCAGTCTTGTGCAAAACTGCCAACAGTGTAGGAGAGAGATAGCTGAAACATTAAAAATATGCATGGCCACACATTCTTCTTTGTTTTCTTATAAATATAATTTAGTAAGCTCTGGTTTGCTGCTAGAAACTTTCAAATAATTGAAGAATGGGCAGTTCTTTCTCATATTACATTCTTCTCATCTTGATGAGTTAAAACAGTGTTTCCCAAACTTGACAATTTTAAGGCATGTGGACTTCAACTCCCAGAATTCCACAGCCAGCGTTGCTGGCTGTGGAATTCTGGGAGTTGAAGTCCTCATACCTTAAAATTGTCAAGTTTGGGAAACACTAAGTTAAAAGAAGGGTTATAAGGTCAAGGTTGTATCCTTGATAGTATAGACAGCACAGTAAAGCATTAAGAAATAGATTTAATAATCCCCACTGAAGAAAGGCAAAGATGGGCTTGTAAAGATTACATTTTCCAGTTAAAATTATTCCCTTCGTAGTCTTTGGGAATCTGAAGGATTCTTGAACACTCTGTATAGTTTTCAAGGCACAATGGTTAGAATTCTGCTGAGGCCCCGTGAAATGGTAAGATGAGAAAGATCCCTGAATGATTGCTCCCGAGTGTCCTCTCTGCTTACAGGAAGCATCTTGGCTTACTCTGGTGTCTATAGCAATGATGCAAACTAGCAGACAACTGTAGCACAGATGGTTAAATTTAGCAGCAAATTTATATGAGCACAATCTCTCTATGTGTAGTGATGGCAGAGCTTAGTTTTCTACCATCACTATATCACCAGTAAATGGCCAACATAGTTTTCTCAGGCAGGAGGATGGACTGTACAAGGTAAGTCCAGCAGCAGATTCAGCTGAACAGTTAAAAACTTGTAATAAGTTTGTAAAACATTTTAAGGATTAGGTTTTTCACCCCTGACCCAAAGCAAGGTACAAAACTAGTTATTTGCTACAAATGGATGACCTAAAATTACTAGCAAAATCAAAAGCAGAATTTGAATTTCTACTGAACAGTGTTCATGCATTCAGTGACAACATAGGGATGCAATTCAGTCTATCCAAATGTGCAACTTCAATAATTAAAGGAGGCAAAGTTCTTGATGTACTACAGCCAATGAATAAATTACAACTGAAGAATTCCATTAATTAAGATTAATGGAAGCTTCCAGCTTACTACATGAGTAAGTTGAAAAGAATACTAATTTTAATGATATAAAATGAATCTGAAAAATGTTGAAAACAACATTAAATGCAACAAATATAATTAAAGCCATAAATACTTCGGATGATCCAATTAACTGACATGCTGCAGGTAAAATTGACTAAGGCTCTACTTCACCAGAAGTAAAGGTGGGAGGAATTTTTTTTTCAAGTAAAATAGAGGAAGAACAGAAACATAAATTGATTGATTGTATCATACACAATATGGAATCACTACTGGTAGAAGTTTGCAAAGAAAGTTCACAAAATCAGAAGATTATGAAAAGAAAATAAATCTGTTTATGGTCAATATATGCATTTTTTTTCTTTTAATGAGGGGGGGGGGAAATTGCTGAAAACTGAAATTATTAAAAGATGACATTGTGGATCAGTTCAGTAAAGACTAAGCATCGTACAGTTGCAAAATCTGTACACTGGAATTTATGTAAAAGGTTTGGCTTTACTATTAAAAAACTCTGTTATTCTATTCTCTACTCTATTTTTTTCTTGGGACCACAGACTAGAAAATATTTTTCTAAGGAAAATCTTAGAAAATAATATATCAATATTGGTGGGGCTGGTATGGATATTATTATTACTGTATTACATTTATAAATTAGTGTAGTATATACAAATTTCTAAGCAAGGTGGCTTTTTGCAAAGTCAGCAATATCAAATTTAAAATTTCCAAATATTTGGTGAATCTTTGGCACGGTTTTAAAAGCTCCAATTGCTATACAATTATAGTTGACTTTTTCCTCTAAAGTCTTTCAATTAATTTTTGTTACTTTTTCTATTTGATTTTCATCAGTTTGACTCCCCTGAAATTGCTGTATCTATGAACCACATCTTTTTCCTTTCCATAATAGTAATATTATGTTTCAGGTTTCTGATGAATTGTGTTTTAAAACCCTCATGAGAGCTTGATCTCTTATTCTTCAAATAAAAACTTCACCATACTAACTGACTAAATATTTAATCTCCATCATCTGGACAATTACTGGTTTTCCCTGCAGCTATCAAATTTTTCATATGGAAAATACTGAATACACACAGACTAATCATGAGCATATTCAACTTGCACATTAAGCCCAATGTTATACAACTGTTCTTTTTCCAAATAAATATGAACAGATTACAGCTTTAGCTTTGAATAATCTTGTTTTGCTGAGTATCCCGAGAGAAAAAAACAAACAAACCCTGGAGTGGATAACAATTTAAGTTTTATATTACATCCCTCAGTTTTTAAAGGTTTTGCTACATACCAAAATGATTTATTAGATTGGTCTGTCAGCAATCTCATTCAAAAACATTACACATTTCAAAGTAAGAGGATCACTGATTTAAATTCACTCTAATTTACAATTCTTTCATCCAAAATTAAAATGGTTCATCCATATAATACACTCGGCGTGTATTGTGGACAATCTCATTGGGTGGAGGGATGAATATTGCCCTCAGATCTGCCCTCCCAGGTTTTCAGTCTCTTAGCAACCTTGAGTTCAGAGCCAGGATTGTAGCACTAAGAATCTTGCAGTATAACTTGTTTGTATCCAGATAACTTGTTCTTGAGGTAACAAAATGCAAATATCTGGATGTTAATTTGGATTATTGGAACAAGCTAGGCATCTTCTGATGTACTTTACTTTGACTGTCATTAGCAGCCTAGACTCCAGAATAATTTGTCAATATAAAGTGTGACAAACAAACCCATCTATTTCATTTGCCCACAACTGATTCCTGGTAAGATGTTATTCTTTGCATGAATTAACAAATGAATGATGTTCAGCATTTCAGAGATGAAGATACAACATAAAGGTTTGCTGGTGAAAACATAGCAGCTCATACCTGACGCCATTCTCTCTCAATCAGAGCTTCAAAGCCACGAATGGTCCTGCATCTCGGATCCAGAATGATTTGAGCCAGAGAAGTCACCTGTAGTGTTGAATCAGTGCCTTCTGTTCCATGAATCAAGACAGATGCTCCTTCCCTAGGAGAGAAAATATGTTTCAAGAAAAGGAACTGCTTAATGGGCTTATCATGTATCACCCGTACAGCAAAAGAAGATTATCTAGCGGAGAAACAGGTTCAGTTCATGACTCTGCCTCAAAACGCAAGAACTGAGACTTTCAACCTCCCTCAAAATGCTGTTTCAATTTTCAAAGTTGAACAAAATAGAGGGGGAGGGATATGACATTAACTATCTCCAGTCTACAACATAGTCCTTTCAGCAGTTCCAAGCCACCACTCAGGTGACCTTGAGGATACAGATAAACCCCCAAGTGATAAACCCCCAAGTGGCCTCAATGACTCTCTAAAAGAATGCAAATGACCAGCTGTCTGTAAGGTATATAAATCCTTCCATTCCCCTCTATCCAGCCAGAGCTGAAGAAGCTTCTTGGATGAGAAGCGAAACGTCTTCAAAGAAAAACAAGAAAGTCCAGTTGCCTCTTGAAAAAGCACCTTTGAAATAACCATGACCTGGATGACTGAGAATCTCCATAGACATGCAGGATGTGGTTTTAAGATGAATAACCATACAAATGTTTTAAATAAATAATAAATGAATTGAAGCAGATGCCCAAATGTTTACCTATCAATGCACTGGGCAGCCAAGCAAGCTGTGGTCAGGATTTCCTTGATGTGGGTCAGCCAGTTTGAAGCCTCTAACTTACTTAGCCAGCGATCCATATTATGAGACTGGTCATTACAGGCCTCCACAAGCTTGATAAGACTCTCTTGCAGAATATTGTATCTATAGGCACATTGGGAAGAAAGGGAGACAAACATGAAAACAACCTTACATCCATGATGCACACTTTTACTATCAAAATGGGAACACCTTTTGTATTTCCTATATTCAAGTGTTCAATTTTAAGAAATAGACATAGGATTCTAAATACCATACAATTCCAATATTAGAACTTTTATCAACTATGAGCCAAGCCTCATATCCTGCTAAATGTTTGAAGAGATTTCAGCAGCAGCCAAAAAAGCTAATACAATCCTTGGTTATATAAATAGAGGCATAGAATCAAAATCATGTGATGTATTAGTACCGCTTTATAAAGCCTTAGTAAGGCCAGACCTGGAATACTGCATCCAGTTTTGGTCACCACACTACAAAAAAAGATGTTGAGACTTTAAAAAAGTGAAAAGAAAAGCAACTAAGATGATTAAAGGCCTGGAGATTAAAACATATGAAGAACGGCTGCAGGACTTGGGTTTGGCTACTCTAAAGAAAAGAAGAAATAGGGGAAACATGATCGCAGTATTCTAGAATTTGAGAGGTTGCCACAAAGAGGAGGGAGTCAACTTATTTTCCAAAGCACTAGAGGGCAGGACAAAAAACAATGGATGGAAACTAAATAAGGAGAGAAGCAATCTAGAATTAAGGAGAAACTTCCTAACAGTGAGAACAATTAAACCAGTGGAATAGTTTGCCATTAGAAGTTGTGGGTGCTTCATCACTGGAAGTTTTTAAGAAGAGACTGGACAGTCATTTGTCTGAAATGATATAGGTAGATCTCCTGTTTGAACAGGGGCTTGGATTAGAAGACATCGAAGATCCCTTCCAGCTCTATTTTGATTATCTACTCAGTAGAGTCAAGGTTTCCTTGCATCTCCTGCAAAAAGAGTTGGTTAAAAAGCAGTACATTATACAGAAGATCTTTCTGTCTAGAAACCTGGACACAAGAAAGTTCAAAAGTAATACTGTCTTGCAGAGATAGATCATAGTGAACATGCATTCCCACTGATCCATTGCCATGTTTGCAAGTCCTGAAACCTCTGCAAACACCCAACTGAATTTCTACAATGAAACCCGACAATTCTGTAGTGTAGTTTTTGGATTTTTTTTTAAAGGAAAAGGCTTTAAGCTTCCATTGGATGTTACAAACATTTCCTTCAAACAACACAAAAACAATACACCCTTCATTCTACAACCATCAATTTTCTTAATAAATAACCACCGTAAATTAAATAAAAACATTAAAATATGAGCATCTTCTGCCCCAACACCTGTATATAACCAATGTGCTCCTTACAGCATTTGGGGAACTGCTTCAAAAAAGGTCTTATCTGTTTAAACAAACCTAGAGCTGCTGTTTAAGAAAATACAAAGGTTTCTTATATTAAACTCTGGTGCCTAACCTGGTACTGTTTATTTGTATGAGCAATTGGTTTATCTGTGTATCTCAAATCTCCTAAATCCCATGTTCTAAACTAAAAAAAAAAAGCTTCTAAATTAAATTAAAATTCTTGAAAGCAAGTCTTTCTCATACAGAAACTCACCGCTCAATGGATTTGTGAATTCTTCTCCACTGAGGATAATGAACCTCCTGTTCAAAGCCTCCACCTTTGGCCCGGGCTTGCTGAGCAACATTCAGAGATCGTGTGTCAATGATATATCCACGCTTGCCTGCCCTCAGGGTGGCATTGATCAGCTTCTCATCCTCTTTACAACGCTTCCCATTAGTACCTGTAAGTGGTTGGCTACTGCGCATTATCACCTAAAAGGATCAACAAACTATAGTAAGAATGTGTACCCAGACAAGTCTTCTGTAGTATAAAAGCCAATGTAGTGTTAAAGGTATTCTGTGATTCCATGGGGGAAAATGTTCACCATTCTGGAATAACTGATTGTCACCTCCCAGGTAAATCAGATAGGAAAAACAAGATGACCTAATTCTGTTTTATTGAAGCCTGCATTAAAAGAATCTTGCAAATCTGAAGGCCTCTACTTTTAACTGTTTTAACCATTAAAGTGGGTCCTTCCTAAGTTCCCTTCTCTGACTGCTAAGTGACTGTGGGCTCCTGTTTCTCTTTGTCTGATTGTTTCCTAGACAACATCTCTTCCCCCTTTTCCTCAAAGTCATTCATGCATTTTAATTATACTAACAGAGTAAAAAGGGTTTGTATATTTCACCTGATAATTCAGTTTTTCACTACTAATGTGAAAACACATTTTCCTTAATAAAAGTTGAATGAAATCTGGTACATATATATCCAGGATATAATTCTGTGTTTCAAGTGAGAACAATTTTATGTTGATTTTCAAAGAGATGAGAGAAAAAAAGAAATACAGAAGTGATAGTAAATTTTCTGCAAATATTAAGACAGCAGAATGAAAATTAGCATTTATGTGTAAGTTTGAAGCCTATTTTCATCCCATTTCGCTTTCTTCAGAAGTATGTAAGTTTAATATGACAATAATTCTTATTTGAATACAGCTGATAGACAACTTCTAGGAACACACAACAGGAAAGTAATGACTGTAAAGGTCGAACATATCATCTCATGAAGGGGCAGCAGTTTGTCAAGTGTTATGCTTTTCCATAGGAGTGCACCCACAGTACTCTTCAGATAACTTTAACATATCCTTCTCAAAAAGGTACGTTACTTTCAAATTTATGGTTATGGAACGAAAAGAGAATGATGCTTGTTCAGCTTCCAATAAGCTACTGAATGTGCAGCCTCACTCTCTATTAATATTAAACAATCAGAAAGATTTAAAATAAAAGTGCAAGAACCAATTATAACCTATTGTAAAAAGAATTTCTACATCTTTGGGAATTATTTATATCATTGGGAGCATTTAGTTAATGTAACCACTAAAGTCTCAGGCTGCTAATTGATTCTTCCTAATCATATATCTACCTATTCAGATAATCTTCTCTTCCTGCTACCCCTAAATTCTGAAGCTTCCAGTACAACAATTTCAATTATGGCATTTAAATACTGCAACATACATACATTTTAAATATGTAGTTATTACAAAGAAAACACATGCCTTGTAATCCAAGTGTCCAACTCACCATCCCATTTTTCTTGTGATAATAGCTGAGTACTGGGAAGCGTCCACCATGGCGAAAAGTGGCAACCTTCCATAAAGATTCATCATCAATTGATTTAGGGACAGTGACAACAGGTGGGTAAGAAGGGCAGACTGAGAAATCTTTGTTGATGTAACTCAACCGCCATTCATTTGTCTAGGAAAGAATACTATGTATATAAGAATCCACCAAAATCAGTCTGACCTACTTTCTCTTTCTCGTCATAAATTAATTTAGCTTCAGAATCACTTTGCAATTTTACAAAATAAATCTTTACATAAATATCCATTGCCTAAGTGTATATTTAATTTAACCCATTCAAAGTCTTGGAGATATCCTAACTTTAGAACTACATGGGAAATTCAGAAAGCTGAGGATATTTATTAATTTGATTTTTATGTTGCCCAACTCTAACCAACCTTTAGCTACATCAACAGTCAACCTAATCATTTTAATCCTAGGATGGGAACGATCGAGGAAACTTCTGAGATTCTTGAATGGGAGTTATATGTATCTGGGGGGAAGGATGCTATTCCAGAAGGCAAGAGCTGCAACAGAGAAGACATGCTTCCTTGGTCCCACAAGGGACTTGGAGGATACCCATTCTGCCTGAATGTACCAGTAGGTCAGAAATAATTGGATGGCGGTTGTCCCACAGATTATGAGGCCCTGTGCCACATAGGACTTTAAAGGAGATGTCTAGCACCTTAAAGATACACCTGGAAGCTGAGTGGCAACTAATGCAACATCTGGGCTGTGTTTAAAGCCATCCAAAACTTCCACCATTTCCTTTTCATTCTAAACTGGGGTAACAAAATACAATTGTCATGTTCACATTAAGGGTGATGACCAATCCATTAATTTATTTTGGCACAACACGATGGCCTGATCCCCAGGACATTTAATGTGAGGTACATGTCATAGCAGCAGTGCAAACCTAAAGACCAGAACTACTGTCTGTAATGCTATTACTGCCATTTAAAATGTCTGATAGAAGAAAGATTCTCATTCCATACCAAATGTCCCTCAGTAATATGATCCAGTTGACATTTCTCTAGAAGCCCCTTTCTTTCTTTCACCCAAGTTAATATTGTTTTATTTTCTTTTATAAAACACAAGTACAACATTATATATCTGGGTAATGACTAAACACTCTGATGATATATATAACTTAAACTTTTAAGGCTTAAAAAAGGTTATGTCAATATTAACTATAATTTCTGAAATGTTAATGTTGATAAGTTGTTTAAATGTTAAATCTACACCTGAGTGTAGCATTGATAACAACTGCAAAATGCTTAAATTATAATTTATAGAATAAAGGTATCTATTTTGAGTTTAATACTTAATATTAAGGTCTTCATGTATTGTTACTTGTTGTTTATGTGTATTAGAAAAAAGACTTCTATTCTGATAGGTCTTAGAGAACCAAGTTCTTCCTTTGTGGTTTCCAATTGAGCCCAGAGAACCTACAGAACCATGGGGACCTTCCTTCAGAAATCATTGCGCATATCATCATACAGGATAATTTTGCTCCAGCATTTAAATTCCCCTTCTGGGAAAAGTGGTTGAGAAGATGGTTGCACAACAATTTTAAAGTGCTTTGGATGAAGCGGATCGTCTGGATCCCTTTAAGTCAGGATTCAGACTTGGGTATGGGGTGGAAACAGCACTGGTAACTCCTTTGGATGATCTCTGGCATGTGTGGGATGGAGGTTGGGCATCCATCTTTGCCCTACTTGATGGCTTTCAATATCATCAACCTCTCAGTGGCATTCAATACATAGACCATGGGTATTCTTCTGGATTGGATTGGGATGGGCTGCAGGGTATTGTGCTGGTTCACCTTCTTTCTCCAGATTGGTTCCTCCCACTTTTGGCCCCTACTATGGGAGATGACATAGGCTACAGTGCTTTCCCCTCTCCTATTTAACATCTACATGAGGCTGCTGGATGAGCTCATCCATTGCTGTACTGTGGGAGATCATCAATATGCTGATTATGCCCAATTATACATCTCTGCCCCTGGAGAAATAAGCAATGCTGTGAACATCTTATCATGGTGCCTGGAGGCTGTGAGGATCTGGATGGGAGAACAGACTTCAGCTGAACCTTGCCAAAACTGAGTGGATTTGGGTTTTGGGGTCTACTGGTTCTAAGACTATGCCATCTTTGGTTCTGAATGGGGTGTCACCACCCTATACAGACCTGGTATGCAATCTGGGGAACCTCCTAGATTCGTAAGTCCTGTTTTAAAATCAGGTGATTGCTGTGATTAGGAAAGCCTACATGCTGCTTCATGATGTGTGCCAGTTGCGTCCTTTCCTGGATTGCCAGGTTCTGCTCACGGTCATTCATACCCTTATCACTTCCAGATTGGACTACTATTATGCTGTCCTTGAAGAATATCCGGAAGCTCCAACTGGTTCAGAATGCAGTGGCACAGGCAATTTTTTGTGCTCCAAAATAATGCATATTGTACCTCTGCTCTGTGAACTGCATTAGCTGCCAGTCAGTTTCCAGGTCCAATTTAAGATGTTTGTTTGAACCTTTAAAGCCTTTCTAACATGGGTCTAAGTTATCTGGGGGACCACCATTCCACAATTACATCAGCCTATCCCATTAGATTTGGCAGAAGTATGCTGCAGGTATCATAATCTAAAGACCTGTATTTGGTGGGTCCTAGGAGATGGACCTTGTCTGCTTTAGCACACTCTCTATGGAACATTCTTTCTCCAAAAGTCAGATTAGCCCCACCCATTATCTTGCCAGAAGTCCCTCAAGACCTGATGATGTCTCCAGCCCTTGAGGTCTAAGGGAACTGGAGACATTCTTACATGGCTCCATTGTGGTTGCTCTTGTATATTTTAATTTTTATACTGCTTTTTATTTCTAACAATGACTTTATAATTTTTATAATGACTGTTTTTATACACTGGTTGTTTATTGATTGTTATGCATCATCAAGAGTCGCTTCTGTGAGATGGGTAGGAGTAAAAATATGATTAAAAAATAAAAATAAAAACTTACTATTGAATTGAGAAGTTCAAATTCACTTTCAGGCAAGAATGAATGCCAGCCATCTTCAATTACTTCAAACATGGGTCGATAAAAGAAAGGATACATGAGTGTAATGGAATCCAAGGTAGACAGTGCCTACAGGAAGGGGGAAATGCACACAGTATTACAATGTGCTAGGTGTCCATATAATACAGGACTTTTCAGAGATTGTACCACTTTTAGAATGTGGCAATATTCAAGTACCACCAGTCACCTAGCAGGTGGGTGTGGTCTACTCAACGCCACTCACTGGACACAGTTGACTTGAGAGAGCTGGGCCAGAACAGAACAAGTCACACTGGCTAACTCGATGGGGAGACAACTCGGTGCCCCACAAACTCCTTGCCTCCCCAACTGCTAGCAGCCAAGTGCATGCGTGCACACACACACACACACACCGCATTCCAGGTTTGGGGACTTTTATCCACAGAGGAGGGAGAGCCTTCTCTCTAAGCACAGGCATGATTGGCAATTTGCTAGCTCAGATGTGGATACTAGTCTCCAAGCTTGAAATGTATGTGTGTGTGTGTGTGTGTGTGTGTGTGTGTGTGTGTGTACGTATAGCACGCTAAAGAAATGTTCTTTTCCCAATCTCAGACATTGTTGGTGTTCTACTGTCCGGTGCCCCTCCTGGCAAAGCAGGAGGTGCAGGACGTTGGTAGGAAGCAGTTTCCTCTGAGTCCAACTTCTATCTTGACAGATCTCTGGAGAGCAAGAAGAGGCAGCAGGGGAGCAGCGCTCCTGGGTTCTGCACAAGGGAGGCTGGCCCTTCTCAAAAGAGAATTCCCATTTCCAATTGTGCGTGGTAATGATGCTGGCTTATTGGGGCAGCCTTCCCTCACACAGCTCCCCTGCCACCCCTTCCTCCTCTCCAGAGATCTGCAGGGAAGACAGAGATCTGGAGGGCAAGGTGCAGCCTCCATATTGGCCACTTCTACCTCTCCAGGCCCTCCTCAATTAAACATACATTATATATAAATTAAAACACAGCCAAAAAGAAAACATAGTTAAATCACTAATTATAGCTCTTCACATATTTTCTAGAAAAAAACACCTTTATTGATGTTAAGAAGGAAGAGCAAACCTTATTAAAGAACTCTTAACAGGAAGGGTATTGAAGTCCCCAAAAGGTCTTGTTCTTTCTAATCTGCCTTCCCTTTGAGCTTTAGTTCTCATTATTTTATTATTATGTATTTAAGAAGAAGATCAAAGGCCTTCATAGCTCAGGATACTCACCTTAAAATCAGAACCCTGAAAAATTGAATTAATCCACAATACCGCCTTATGAAGAATGAAGATAATCTTTGGGCCCTGAGAGCATGCAGGTGTCCAGTCAGAATATTAATGGCACACCTATCAGCAACTGGAAGTGCATAAGTCCATGTACTTGCCTTCCCTGTCTCACAACTCAATCCATACATCCTTTAATTTTCAGACACTTTTTTTCCTCATAAGCTCCTTAAAAAACCCACAAGGTATTGTGTAATTAGCAGGAAAAATAACTCTAACACTCCTGAATTCTTTCCCCAGGGAAAAAAGGAAAGTTCACAGCCTGTAGGTTGCTAGCAAAGTCATCAAACAATGTAAAGGCAAGAATAAATAACAAATCAATTTTGCAGCTCTCTCCTGATACTGCATCCTCTTACATCCAGAACGTAGCCTGGGATTGCACAAGGGGCTAGGCTAAAATCGGATTGAGTAGTTTGCAGCCAGGTGTTCAGTACAGACCTTGCCAATGTGATTTTAATAGCCCAGGAAGGGATAGGAAAACCTGAGGAAAACTTTGCAATTAATAAACCATAGTGGACTCTGCTTGTGTTGCCCTATTTTGATTCTTCTCCCCAGCAGTAGCCCATCAATTTCAGAACAGCCTCCCAATTCCTGTTTATAGAGGGATTTGCATTTCAGCCAGGGTCAGGCCATACACCCCCAATCAAAGGAAAACCCCGAATCCAGCAGGCCAGAAGGCAGCCCAGCCACCGTCCTAATTCCGACAGGCCTGCCAGCATGGCAGCAGGCAAGAGCACCGGGTGAGCCGCACTTTGCAGGACGAAGCTGGCGGATCTATGTCAGCAGGCCCGTTGGCATCAGGCCAGATCTGAAGAAGGTAGCTGCGATGGGAGGGGGGGGGAGGGGAAGCAAAAGGTTTTTCAGCAGGTGCCGGCAGGCCTGCAAACACGGTGCTGCTCCTCTGCTTTCCAGCCCCTAAATTGCAGAGTAAAGTTGGGCAGCCTTTGAGCACTGCTGACAAGCTGCAGATTTGCTGTAGTCTTGGCCGCCACCCCCATCCTTGGCAGGGCAAGGTTGCAGCGCGTGGCCTTTAGTCGGGGCTGCCAGCGTGGCAGTGGGCAGGAGCGCTGGGGGAGTGCTGCTTTGCAGGACGGAGGTACTTGCAAGTCCCACCCCAGCTATGGCGAAGAGTGACTGCGTTTGTGCCCAGAGGGCGTGAAAGAACTGGAGGGGCACGGTGGCTGGGCTGCCTTCTGGCCCGTTGAATTCAGGTTTTCCTTTGCAAGCTGGGGTGGGCCGGCCCCTCACTGTCTCCAGGGAGGCCCTGGGCCAAATATACACACCCCATAGGCATGTCTATCTCCTCCTTCTCTTTTTGTCTTCAGTGTAGCTGCAACTGACTCCTTTCTTAAGGCTGTGCATAGCTTCCGGAAGCGCCAGTCAGTTGGAGCCCGGCACGGATCCTGGGGACTCAGCAGAGCCCCAGCAATACCGTGGCTCCAGCTTGGTCTCCCACAGGCCTGTGCTGCATTGCCACCACTTCAGCTCAACTCCACACTACATTTTTACACTTTTTTTTACATATTTTTATTTACAGTGCTTTTCCACCCATCATAAGCATACCACCTGCAAGGTGCCGATGTACCACCAGTGGTACGTGTACTACCGGTTGAAAAGCCCTGGTATAATAGGCTGCCTTTAGGTACCCTGAAGCAATAGATTTGGAGAGTAATGAGTGGAGAGTACAATGCCAGTTCCTTTCCTGGACTAGCCTGTCGCTCAAAGCTATTGCTTCATTTTGCCTAACAGCATGATGGGCTTCCCTTTCCTTAATGACACAACATAATAAATGATCAGAAAATAAAAAAAGAGAGAGATCATGTAAAACTGATAACTGAAAATAAACTAATGGAAAGAAATTTAGAGATGGAGACTCAAGTGGAGAACTTACAAAAAATACTGGATAAGGAAAAGAAAACTTGGACTCTAAGATCACAAAATAAATTTGAGAATAAGAAAACAGATTTGATAAGACTACAGAGTTGTTGGGAGTACTATAAGAAATGGAGAGACAATAGATCACAAGAGAAATCTTCAATGAATATGAAGGGACAAAGTCTTTGTACAAAGACATGTTTTTTGATTCCCTTTTAATATTCACAACACTTACAAGATTATGGAAAGACTTTTTGACTGAATGGATTATATTGATTAGGAAAGAGGTTCTACAAAAGGAGAGGGCTAAATTAGATGATGGGACGCATCAGAGGGAATATTTAAAAATTAAATATTTGTTCAAATACGGTTGAAGAAATAGAAAGATTTTAATCTAAGAGGGATGAACTCCCTAAGCAAGACAATATTATTTCTCTTCTTTTTCTTTTAGTTTGTTTTCAAATATGAACAATATAAACATGTTTGGGATGGTTATTATAAAGGAAATGTTTTAGATATCTAAATGTAATTGATCTTAAGAAAATTCTATAGATAACTAAAAAAATGTTTTGAAATAGACTTAAAAGATTTGATGATTAGATTTATTAAATAGAACATCTAAAAACTCAACGTAGGTTTAATTATGGATAAAAAAGAACAGAAGAAAAAAATTGGGAATAAACTTATATTAGTTTAAGAGAGCTATGTATTTTAAGTAGTATATTATATTTCGTATTCTTTTTTTCTTTCTCTCTTTTCTTTTTTTATTTTTCTTTTGTCTCTTTTTTTACTTACTTTGTAAGACATGAATATAGATTTAAATACTTAAATGTAATTAACTTTGAGAAAATGTTAACCAGTAAAAATGTTTTGCACACTGTAGGGGAAACAAATTTAAATAAGAACTGCAAACAGGATTTATGATGAGACAGCCAAGATGATTAGATAGAAAAGCATAACATTGATCTGATTATTACTGGTAAATTTTAGAAAAATCTTTATATTTAAATTGTTACCTATTAAATTAATAAGAATTGTATTGATTTAAGGCTGGCAAAGAGAATATTATTTGAAGAAGAGAAAATCAAGTAAAGCTACTATCTGGACTTTAGAATACTAAAAACTGACGATTAGTGATTACTTTGTAAATGTATGCCCAGACAACATGCTGTTTACCAAATATTAAGGTGTTTATGTTAAAAAACCAATAAAATATTAAAAAAGAAAAACATGAGCTGTTTTTCTCTATTTAACCAAATACTGCTATAGTTTCTGCAGCAAAAAGTGTTTATGAACCTCTGTCTGATAAAGCACAAGCACACTGAAAAGACACACAGCAAAGTACAGTAAAAAGGCAGGCGCCGCTTGTACAGCCCACTGAAATGCCAATAAATAGACATGAACGGTATCATAAATACTAACAGAGTTACTTTTTTAATTACAAGTTTGTTTTATCAATCAAGCTTACCTTGCTTTATGGAATATACATCATTTGATGACTTCTGGTAGCTTTTCCCAGAGCAGCTTTTCTAAATTTCTAGAGGTCTAACTTAGACTGAGGTCTAATTTAAGCAAAAATCCATCAGGATGACTACATATACAGATATAAAATATGTGACCCTACATACATAAGACAACAAGGAGATTCTTCACCAGGATTTATTTCCTCTCTACATATCTTAGGGGTTTTGTTATCAATGTTCAGATGCCTCCTTCAAAAAGCTTCCCATTCTAAAAATATCCTAATGCAGTGCTTCTCAACTGTGGCAACTTTAAGATATTTGAACTTCAACTCCCAGAATTCCCCAGCCAGCTAATTTAAGTCCACATATCTTAAAAGTTGCCACGGTTGAGAAACCTTGTCCTAATGCATCTAAGGAGATACCATCCCAGCCCCATCTTTCACATGAATCTCTGCAGAACAGAACCAGAGTTTTGCCGAGTTCTTCTCATTTCTCTAAATTACTTTACCTCAATGGAACTAGCAATGTTCAAAGATTCCTCCATGCCAGAAACGTCAAGCTGGATAATTCGCAGGTCTTTGCATTTGATAATGATGGTGCCCAAGAAGCCGATAAAACTGCAATGATATAAAACATGAGTATTGAAGAGTGAAGAATATAATTTTTCAACTGTAGACACCTACATGGCCTTCACAATGCACAAACGTTTTAAAGCCTATCCTACTTCAGCCATTAAAACATTCTAGCACTGCTAGTTGGAAACCCTTAATGGAAGAATATACCAATGAACTGGAGAACTGCAGGTTATTTTAGCAAATTAAAATTTTCAAACCTATAGCGATCAAGTTAAAAAGAACATAAGGATGGGATGTAATTTTAAAGAAAGACTGGCAGGTGAGAAGGAAATGGCCACACTGGAACTGCAGAAGACTTTGATTTTGATTCCCACATGTCAATGAAGCAAATTGTGAGATCCAAAACTACACAAATTACCTCAAGCCTACCTCACTGGAGTGTTGCTCCAAACTCAGAGACATGGGAGAGACATATTAAAAGACTTCATATAATCTAATTTCCAGATGAGCAATTTCTTTATGCTAGTAAATAATTTCAGTAATGTTGTTGGAATCCCAAGACCAATCCTGGGAGGATCAGGAAGAATTCATCTAAGCCGATATTTTTCTTTCTTAGACATAGTCAAATAAGGAGAGGAGGGTTGAAAAATGGTATTTTTTTTACTATACTATAGCAACTATGATTGAGGTTTCTTTTAGCTCTTTTTAATCTTAATCTTTGCAAGGAAATAATTAATTACAACCAAGGTGCTAAGCTACTTTAAAAACCCAACATGAATGATGAAGAAAGTAGAAAAAACTATCATTTTTCCTTCTGAAATGAAATTGTTGGATAGAGCAGTACAATGGGGGAAATAGACACTGCTTTTCTTCACAATCTAGGAGGAAAGAAAACAAGAAGAAAAATTTAAATGAATCTCCTGCATTTCTCTGTACGAGAATACTGTAAACCAGTTTTATTAAAAAACGGAATGTACTCCAGCTTAGTTCAGATACCGTGAGGGAAAAATATATTTGATCCCTGCTGATTTGTACATTTGCCCACTGACGAAGAAATTATCAGTCTATAATTTTAATGGTAGGTTTAACAGTGAGAGACAGAATAACAAAAAAATCCAGAAAAATGCATTTCAAAAATGCATTTGCATTTTAATGAGTGAAATAAATATTTGACCCCTTCGTAAAATATGATTTAGTACTTGGTGGCAAAACCCTTTGTTGGCAATCACAGAGGTCAGACATTTCTTGTAGTTGGCCACCAGGTTTGCACACATCTTAGGAGGGATTTTTGTCCCACTCCTCTTTGCAGATCCTCTCCAAGTCATTAAGGTTTCGAGGCTGACGTTTGGCAGCTTGAACCTTCAGTTCCCTCCACAGATTTTCTATGGGATTAAGGTCTGGAGACTGGCTAGACCACTCTAGAACCTTAATGTGCTTCTTCTTGAGCTATTCCTTTGTTGCCTTGGCCGTGTGTTTTGGCGTCATTGCCATGCTGGAATACCCATTCACGACCCATTTTCAATGCCCTGGCTGAGGGAAGGAGGTTCTCACCCAAAATTTGATGGTAAATGGCCCCGTCCATCGTCCCTTTGATGTGGTGAAGTTGTCCTATCCCCTTAGTAGAAAAACACCCCCAAAGCATAATGTTTCCACCTCCATTGTTGACGGTGGGGATAGTGTTCTTGGGATTATAGGCAGCATTCCTCCTCCTCCAAACACAGCGAGATGCGTTGATGCCAAAGAGCTCAATTTTGGTCTCATCTGACCACAACACTTTTACCCAGTTCTCCTCTGAATCATTCAGATGTTCATTGGCAAACTTCAGACGGGTGTCAAGCCGGTGGGGGGCAGGGAAGCAACAGCCAGCGGCCAGCCGAGGTCCGGACTCCACTCCGGGACGCCGCCCCACTCCCCAAGACCAGCTGGGAGTCAGCAAGCTGGCCGGACACCACCCGGCTCCCGAGGGTCAGCTGGGAGCTGATGAGGCCGCTGTGCACCGCGGCCGCCTCCCTCCATTGCCGCAGACGCCTGGGACATCCCTACCGCCAGCTGGGCGTCAGAGGCAGGCCTGCTGGACACCAGGGGATCCACTGCTCGCTGCAGCCGCTCGCTTGCACCAGACGCAGGGGAATTCCTGGAAAGCAACTGTAGGGCCGGTGGCCCGCGGAAGGCGCTGGTTGCTGGGGGAGGCCATGGCCTTGTGGACGAGAGCAGAGCTACCTGTTGTGGAGCCATGCCGGAACTAGGCGTTGGATGGATGCCAGGCAGGACAGCTGAGAATGTGGAGGCTGCGCTGATGCATCTGAGGGGGGGGGGAGGCGGAATTTGAGCTACAGATATTATCCATACAGACTGGGTGACTTACTGTCAGATGTCCTCTGCTAGCTGCCGACAAACTCCAGACACAGAAGGATGCTGGCTTGCTGATTGGGGTGGGGCTGGAGGGCAGGGCACGTTTATGTAAGGCATTGGGAGCAATTCACTCCCAGTGCTGACTTTTTCTTTGCATTAAAGTTTGCTGGTCACCTGTTCCTTCTGTGTCTGGAGTTTGTCGGCAACTAGCAGAGGACATCTGACAACGGGCCTGTACATGTGCTTTCTTCAGCACAGGAACCTTGCAGGCGCTGCAGGATTTCAGTCCTTCACAGCATAGTGTGTTATCAATTGTTTTCTTGGTGACTATGGTCCCAGCTGCCTTGAGATCATTGATAAGATCCTCCGGTGTAGGTCTGGGCTGATTCCTCACCATTCTCATGACCACTGAAACTCCACAAGATGAGATATTGCTGTATGCCTACAGTGACAGAGATCTCAGAAAGAAACACTTTTTGTCAAGTAGAGATGTGAGTGGCAGCCTTCCTTTGTTGTGGCACATTGTCATTGGACTGCTGTTCTCCTGAAATCAGGCTGCTCCCAACACAGTCGGCCATTCTGCATCAGATAAATATATTTTAAAAGAGCAATAAAACCCCCAGGTTGGCACCCAACAATATGATAGAGCAACAATGGTTTGTTCAGGCTTAAATATGTTTTATTGAGATCTTTTTATAGGAATAAAAATGCAGGGGGTTATTTTTCTCATTTCTAAAGAAATACTCATTCACAAATATTTCAAGGTTGTTCTTCGTCAGGGCAACCTATCTTCATGAAAGTGACTGATTAATTACATTACTTTTTCATTGAGTCTGAATAATACAAAACATATCCATGAATTGTAGCAACCCACTGGCGCTACTATACAGGGAGAAGCTTTACTGATGTTATTCTAAGAGTTATTCATGTTCAAGTAAATTATAAAATATCAGGGCAGCAAGAAAAAAAGCAAGAGAGGACAAAGCAGGTTAATTGTCCCATTTTAAGCTTGAATATAGCTCCAAATTGCTTGTCTTTTAGTGTTGAAGACAGCAATACAGTAGACCTCAACTTACAACTGGTTGCCTAGCGACTGAAGTTATGATGGACAGCCACCCCAAAAGCTGTCAAAATTATGACAGCTGCACTACTCTGCAGTCACATGATCACATTTCAGGTGCTTGGCAACCAGCTTACCTTTATGGCTGTTTGCAGCATCCCGCAGTCACGTAACCACAATGGTTGATTTTTTTTTTTGCTAATTCCCAGGGTTTACTTCTGGTTTCCAGCAAAAAGCAGCCATTAGGTAAAATAGATTCACTTAATGACCTTAATATTCACTTAATAATAACTACAAAAATGTCATAAAATTGGGTCTGATCACATGGTGATCTGCTTAACAACCAGGATATACAACTGAAATTTCCAGTTCAATTACAGTCGTAAGTCAAGAACCGCCTATATGGTGTAAAAAATTGGCCACAAGAATAAAATAAAGGTTCTGTGGATTATATCTCTCTAAAAGCCTTTTAAAATAAAAGCAGCTTTGAAAACTTATTATCCTTGATTCCTTGGAGCTGGAAAAAATAAAGCTCTCAAAGTCTAAATAACTAAACTTCAATGCTTTTCCCAAAACAAGATGCATTCTACCATTTAATCTAACAGAAAAAAAAACATTTATTTCACAATTATCTAAAACAGATTTCCCTGATGTTGTCCTCTGCAGATGTGTAGGTCCACCATACATGTCATCCCACCACCAGCAACCCCCCCCCCAACAAATAAATAGGGAAATGGCAACATAATGCAACTGAGATGGCTTAATAAAAGATTTGGGTGCATTCGTGGAAGATGATTAATTTAAGGTAGATCAGTGTTTTCAAACCTGGTAACTATAAGATCTGTGGATTTCAACTCCCAGAATTCCCAGAACATCTTAAAGTTGCCAATTTTGAAAAAACACTGATTTACATCATTTATGGAAACTGATTGATGACAGCTGAATAATACTCGATATTCAGAGATAGTATATCTCTGGAAAAGAAATATTAAACTACCTTTCAAGTGATGTTTTCAGAGAGGATCAATCCAGATATTCAAACAGGAGACTAAGTCCTCAATAGCTATTTAATGGATGGTCTGAAATCAAAGGATGAAGCCTTTTCTGACACAAAAAGGCAAAGTATACAAAAAGCTTCTACTAATGATTTTTCAGTTAAGCAGCTTCTATTTAGTGCAAGTATTTATTAAAGCTTCAGCTGACAAGCTTCACTGATATCCCCTCTTATTTTTCCGTAAGGAGGAATACCTTTTTAAGAAAATGCCTTCTAAATCAGCCATCATTTAAAAATAAAGTGTTTCAGGATTTTTCTTTCCGCAATATGCAAATTTAACTTCATTCAAAATTCCCATAAGAGTAGATATTTTAAATGTTTAAGAATAGAAAGTATATTTTAGGTGAATTTTATGTAATAATTCATTTTAAACATTCATACCTTCTCCATCAACTTTGAAAAAGCATTCAACAATATAAGTCCAAGCCAATGGAAAAATAATGCAACAGAATGCATTTAGCCTTCAAATAGCAATAAACTAAGAAGCAGCAAGATCATAAATTACTATAAATTTATTTTATGCCACTTATATTCCATCTTTCTATTCTGATAGGAACTCAAAGCAGTAAAGGTAATAAAAGCAATAAAAAATGTCTGTATCAATGGGGAACAAAAGTCTGGTCCTGAAAAGGCTGTAGTATCAGTACTAGTTAAGCCTCCAGGAAGAGACTATTTCAGAATCAGACTACCAATATAGTACAGAATAAATTTCTTCCCATCCTTGGTATGAAATGTTCCACATCAACTGACAGTACTTAAGAAAGACTTCAAGTGAAGATATGATACATTAATAAATAAAATTCATATTAATGGAACATATATAGCCACCCATCTCATATAATGGTACCAGGAGGCTCACAACAAGCAATAAAAGCATGGATAAAAACAAACCCACCTTTCCCCTCACAGCCCACATGAGGGAATGGTATGGGAAGATGTATCTTCACATATATGGTCCCAATAGGGTAAGGGCCTATGCTCAACATCCTGAATAGTGCTTGGAAGCTGATAAGGGAATTATACAGGTTGCTTAATAACTGGAGTGCTATACTACTTTATAGCTTTAACTAAAGTTATTTGGAAAACAGCTATGCAAATCAGCTAAAAACAGTAAAATACAGTATAGACACTTCATTTTAATAATGGACAATGATGGCACTCCTATCTAGCTAGAATTCAATTCTATTTACTATCTTTAATCCAGGCCATTCCTGCATCTAGCACCTGCAAAGTTTTACCATGGGGAGATGGGTTTTTTTGGACTACATCACTGCTCTTCTCCCCCCCCCCCCATGAACTAAAATATCCTCACCGTTTTTCAATTGAATCAATGTTGGAATGCAAAAGCCAAAGCTCCTCAACATTATCCTGCCTTCGCGAGGAGAAGATGAGGTGGTGTCCCGTTAAGCACAGGGTTCCCTCCACTGCTGGATGGAAAGGGCGGTGAAGAACTACATTGTCAGCCCGAGGTGTCTTGATAAGCTCAGCAAACTCCATAGTGCCTCCAGATCCAGCACAATTGTCCTTCCAGGCAAGCCAATCCCAACTCAATGGCCAGGTGTAGTCTCAACTTTTCGACAGCTTTCACAAACAGTTACAACTCTCAAGATAACAGTACTAGCTGAGAGTTAACCATCTGGCAGAAGTCATCATAGCAAGTTCCAAATTCTTACTGGATGGAGGAAGAAAACAAAACACAGCAACCATAAATCATCTCTAGCTTTCACAAGGGAAGATTATTTAAAAGAACATGAATGTTCATCAAAGAAGGGGCAGATATGGTAAAGTTTTAGGAAAGGATCAAACTATGACCTAAAGTCTCAGAGCAGAAAAGTTGGGGTAAGACTGGAAATATGTCATAATCCAAGGAGGCACTGAAGCATGATTCTGGATGTCACAATTGCAGTTTTTTCAGCATGTAGGAAAGAGTCAGGTATAAGTGGGTAAGGAGATTAAATCAATATGGTAACAAGAAGGATCTCAAGGACAGTACAAAAATCTGGAGGCTTTACCATTCCGTATTTCAAGAAAAATTGCAGCAATTTGCTAGGCTAGAATTTTTAAGCCGAAAAACCCAGAAGCAACTGGGCAGGGTAAGAACCCCATTTCAGGATTACTGGGTAGAAAGTAATGCATTAGAATATTTTAACTAGATAATGCAAAGGAAGTAACGAGTTCCTATTCGCCTATTCTCGAGAAAAACGTGAGAAAAGGGGTGAGAAAAGGACACCAGCTTCCCTTTCTTAAAGAGAATCACAAGAAGCCATTACAGCACTACTCAGTGAATTAGCATTCCTCCCCCTCCCCCCCATCACCAAATCAGGAAGAGGAAGACGAGACTTCTGGGGGGGGGGAGGATTTTGGGATGGCTGGAGGGGGGCGAGAAGCTTAATTAATACCCACCTTTTGGACCCAGAGCTAGGCATCCGATCGCAACGTGTTAGGAAGGGTGGGGAAGCGGCAGAGACTGAAAAGGCAGCCGCTGCAGTTAAGATAACGGGCAGCTCTTTTTAAAATAGGCAGTGGGTGGGTAAGGGAGAGGAGTCCTTCTTCCGCGACCCTACTCCCATCCTAGCGCAACATCCTCTTCGCCCGCTTCCCAGTCTCCCCACCGAGGCTCCCGCAGATTCAGCCGGCAGGAAACGCTCCCAATCTGTACCCCGGATATGGAGAAGAAGGAGGAGGAAAACAACCACACATGCACCACATCGGGTCTACCACAACGGAGAGGCGGGGCAAAGCGTGGCCAGTCCAAACGCCTCGCCCACGTGACAAGCTCTCCTGGCCAATCCGACTTCTCCCGGCGATGAAGGTGAAAATCTCTTGCCAGCCGGTTCTTTTGCTTTTGCCCTTACCGGAAGCGTCCTCTTCGGAAAACTACCGACTGGAAACGCGTTTCCAATACTACGTTATTTTTGGTATTATTTCTTACCCTTGCACAATCCCCATCTATGTATTTTTTAAAACAACAACAATCTACCGTATATTCTTTTCCGCTTGAAATTATCTATTTCAATATCACGATCGTCTTCCCACAGCCAACAGTGATAGAAAATATGGTATGAAACATTAGGGCTTCCAGGTCCCAACTGCACGAATCCAGACGACCATTAGATTGCACAAAGGACTGGGAGATTTTTGCATCTTTTTTGCGAGGCAGATAAAAACTGCCAAGTCCTGTGAAATTGAGAAGAGACAGAAGCCTCTGAACACTTGTTCTAGAACCCCAGTCCTGCCTTGAGGGATTGTGAGGGTAACTCCTGTGTCAACAAATTAGTCTAATTGGAGATATATGGGGATAGGGCAGTGATGGCGAAACTTTTAGAGACCAAGTGCCCAAAAACTGGCCCAGCTCCTGCTCTACCCCCTCCCACTCCGCCCCCCCGCCCCCTGCCCACAGGGCCACTCACCGCCTCCAGGGCCCGCTGCAGATTGCCCAGGCAGCCCAGCAGCGCTATGGAAGTCACGCTTTCTGCCTGCATCCTATGGGGTGTGAGGGCAGAGTCTTGTCTATGCTGCCTGGCTGCCATGCCCTTGGCTGCGCTGCTTCAGGTGGGCCACGCTCAGACTCTCCTTCAGGGGGGCTGCTGGAGAGGAGGGGGAGGCGAGGCTGGGGCAATGGCATGTGTGCCCACAGAGAGGTCTCTGAGTGCCGCCTCTGGCACCCATGCCATAGGTTCGCCACCACTGGGATAGGGTGTAGTGGATCTGCAGCATCCCAGCGATGATGGACCAGCCTCCAACCTCTTAGGTCCTAGGCCCTGACTCTAAAAGAGCATCAAGTTAGGGAAGGAGTTGGGTGGCAATGCATTTGGAATTGGGCTCTTGCATTGTAGTGTGGGAAGTCACCCTCCCCCCCCAGAGAAGGAAATATTAAAAGGGCAGAAAAATATATTTCCTCAAAGGATCTTAAAGAGGCAGAAAAGCATGCCCAGTTTTCTTAAAAGCCCCAAGTCTCCCTCCCCCAAGCAGAAACCAGCTCTGTAGAAATGCAAATGTAAATAATCCAGGAAGATTGGAGGTTCCCAGCTAGAAGATTATGAAAACAAAGACATCTAAAATCTATATACCCCACCCAAATTCTAAGACAGGACATAATAGGATTAACCCACAGATGCCAAAGGGACACAGGTCAAAATACATGACACAGGAAATACAAAGTCTCAAACAGGAACAAGAAACAACCTCAAGAGCCCCAGAGGGTATAAAAACCCACTCCCTACATGTGCTCTTCTCTCTTCTTCCAGAGCCATCTTTCTGTCTGGCTCTCCTCTCCAATAAACTGCAACCTTCTTTCTAAAGCGGTTGCCATATTATTTATTCCTGGCTTGGACTGAACCATGATGAAGACTTTTCCTTCAACAGTAGCTTAGTTTTGTTGTGTCTGCAAGACCATCAGATTAAGAATAGGAGATCTTATTTTTAATGAATTTCTGGATAATCACTGTTCTTTAGGCTTTGCTGTGATTGTAAGAAACACATATTCAGGTAAGAGCATAGGTGTGTGAGATTATTTGTGAAGGAAGTTTGCATGATATAAAGATCAAGAGCATCTGGAGCGCATAGTACAGGAAAGGAAGAGAAAGGTTGAATGTCCCTGATTAGGATGGTAGCCCCTTCCCTGACTCTAAAGTCAGGAGGGAACATGGCCTGCACTGTAAAATTAGTTTCTGTCCAACATTACCATTTGTTCCACTCTTCACCAACTTTGGCTCAAGAACAACATTAAAATGTAACAAAATAGCATCCCAATATAAAAATGTAGGAAGGCAAAATAAAGCAGCATTAACACAAAATAAATGATTATTTTAAAAAATAAAATAAAAATCAATTTATCCCACAGAATGCTTCTGGGGATAAGAGTGGTGGAGGAGGAAAAAGTTCCCCCCCAAAATTCAAGCATTATAAAATAAGAAAAAGGAAAAAGAGAAAACTGAATATTCACAGAGGGCACCAGGTATGATAGAAACAAGTTGATAAAAGAGGCATGCTTTCAATAAACACTTTGTAAAGTTTTTGCAAAATGGCCACCTAACAGTCATCTGGATTTTTGCAGCCAAAATTGAAAAGTCCTAATCCAAAGTGGTTGGTCTTGTATAGTGGGATTTTCTGGAATCTTCTAACATTTTCTCACTGAAGATTAGGCCATTATGAATGAAAATAACAGCTCCTCAGCCCACTTTACTATTCTTTCTTTTCTTCCCTGGCAAATTAGAATTAATGGATTTAGTGTAACTAATAAAGATAATAATAAAGACAAATAGATTTAAGGAACTGGATCTGATAGACAGAGTGCCTGAAGAACTATGGACGGAAGTTCGCAACATTGTACAAGAGGTAGCAACTAAAACCATCCCAAAGAAAAAGAAATGCAAGAAAGCAAAATGGCTGTCTGAGGAAGCTTTGCAAATAGCTGAGGAAAGAAGGGAAGTGAAAAGCAAAGGAGAAAGAGAAAGATACACCCAATTGAATGCAGAATTCCAGAGAGTAGCTAGAAGAGATAAGAATGCCTTCTTAAATGAACAGTGCAAAGAAATAGAAGAAAACAACAGAATAGGGAGGACCAGAGATCTCTTCAAGAAAATTGGAGATATGAAGGGAACGTTTCATGCAAAGATGGGCATGATAAAGGACCAAAATGGCAGAGACCTAACAGAGGCAGAAGAGATTAAGAAGAGATGGCAAAACTACACAGAAGAACTATACAAGAATGAGCTTAACATCCCAGATAACCACAATGAGATGGTCACTGACCTCGAACCAGACATCCTAGAATGTGAAGTGAAATGGGCCTTAGAAAATCTGAGCAACAACAAAGCTAGTGGAGGTGACAGTATTCCAGCTGAGCTATTCAAAATCTTAAAAGACGATGCAGTAAAAGTGCTACACTCAATTTGCCAGCAAATTTGGAAAACTCAACAGTGGCCACAGGATTGGAAAAGGTCAGTTTACATTCCAATTTCAAAGAAAGGCAATGCCAAAGAATGTTCAAACTATCGCACCATTGCACTCATTTCACATGCTAGTAAAGTTATGCTTAAAATCCTACAAGCTAGACTCCATCAGTATGTGGATCAAGAACTACCAGAAGTACAGGCAGGATTTCGAAGAGGCAGAGGAACTAGAGATCAAATTGCCAACATACGCTGGATCATGGAGAAAGCTAGGGAGTTCCAGAAAAACATCTACTTCTGCTTCATTGACTATGCAAAAGCCTTTGATTGTGTGGATCACAACAAATTGTGGCAAGTTCTTAAAGAGATGGGAGTACCAGACCATCTCATTTGTCTCTTGAGAAACCTATATGTGGGTCAAGAAGCAACAGTGAGAACCGAACACGGAACCACTGATTGGTTCAAAATTGGAAAAGGAGTCCGGCAAGGCTGTATACTGTCGCCCTGCCTATTTAACTTATATGCAGAACACATCATGAGAAAGGCAGGGCTAGATGAATCAAAAGTTGGAATTAAGATTGCCGGGAGAAATATCAATAACCTAAGATATGCAGATGATACCACTCTAAGGGCAGAAAGTGAAGAGGAACTAAAGAGCCTCTTGATGCGGGTGAAGAAGGAGAGTGCAAAAGTTGGCTTGAAACTCAACATTAAGAAAACCAAAATCATGGCATCCGGCCCTCTCAATTCCTGGCAAATAGATGGGGAAGAAATGGAGGTAGTGACAGATTTTATTTTTCTGGGCTCAAAGATCACCTCAGATGGGGACTGCAGCCAAGAAATTAAAAGGCGCTTGCTCCTGGGGAGGAAAGCTATGGCAAAGCACTCTAAAAAGCAGAGACATCACCCTGCCAACAAAAGTGCGTATAGTCCAGGCCATGGTTTTCCCAGTTGCAATGTATGGCTGTGAAAGTTGGACCATAAGAAAGGCTGAACACAAAAGAATTGAGACCTTTGAACTATGGTGCTGGAGAAGACTCCTGCGAGTCCCTTGGACTGCAAGGCGTTCAAACCGGTCAGTCCTAGAAGAGATCAACCCCGACTGCTCTTTAGAAGGCCAGATCCTGAAGTTGAAACTCAGGTACTTTGGTCACCTAATGAGAAGGAAGGATTCACTGGAGAAGAGCCTAATGCTGGGAAAGATTGAGGGCAATAGAAGAAGGGGACGACAGAGAATGAGATGGCTGGATGGAGTCACTGAAGCAGTAGGTGTGAATTTAAATGGACTCCAGAAGATGGTAGAGGACAGGAAGACCTGGAGGAACGTTTTCCATGGGGTCGCGATGGGTCGGACACGACTTCGCAATTAACAACAACAACAATAAAGATAGGATGAGAAATACCTGAAAAGGCCACAATGTATGCAACAAACTAGCCAACTCTCTTTTAGCTAACTATAGGATGTCAACTTGGCCTATATGCTAACTCTTGCTGCCATCTAGTGGTCAACATGTTTTTTGAGGTGAAAATCTCACTTAGCAATCACAGTTGGGACTGGCAACTCAGTCATTGAGTGGTTGTTAACAACAACATCAACAACAACAGTTCTGGAAAGAACAACATCCAGAATCAGAAATAACAGAACAGAAACTAGCAGATCAACGTCAATTTATAATATGAAATAAAGTATTCACAGCAACAGAATTGGACAAACTGCAAAGGTTTACCCAGGTCAAAGAAATCAAAGCCTTGCCAGAAGTAACTTAGAATGTAGAGGCAAACCAGGGAGAGTTGGCAGTAGTGGAATCCAGCAAAGATATACAGCTGTTTTCATTTGGAAA